AACGTGGTACGAAGTGGATCAGAAATTTCTGCTTTGGCTGGTAATCTTTCTGCACCTGTATTTCCCATTTCAACGAGTCACACTGGTGTCTTAAAACCAGAAACCATTTATTTATAAATGCACTTCTCAAATCTTCGAGTTTTCTTCAAAATCCCACCGGAAACATCTTTCTCGTACGAATTGTTTAAAAATATATCGCTTCTTCCTATAAATATTTCAAATTTCCTCGCGAAATTACATAGGTGGTTGTTATTGAGGTAGTGAGATTTGAGGTTCTAAGCCGCGCAGCCTTGACGCTGTTGAACAGTTGGTGACGCCATCTAGTAGCAAAAAGACTTAGTGTATTCTTGGAAATAGTTGGCTAATGTTGTTGAGCACAGTCGAATAGGTTATTTGTATGCAATCACTTAATTTATTGATGGTTTTTTTAGTTTGGCTGATTTCCTACGGGAAATCAACCAAACAAAAAGTGCCTGTCGAGTGTCTTGAAATATCAAGCAGTCATCAATAGGTGTAGGGAGCTGTCTGCTTTATTTTGACAGTACCTGTACTGTACTTGCATTTGTCAGATTTTATTAATTTGCGGCGGTATAGGAATTGATTGGCTATAAGAGTGTTATTGTTTTTGTCTTGATTTTTATTATTTTGATTAAATCTTCACGAGAGGTGGTATCATGGTTTCAGTCGCAGATAGCTTTTTTTTCCCTAGCTTGTCTGCGAGTTCGTTAATTAACCGGTCGGCACGCGCGTGCTCCATCAAATTTAAATTACGCGCGCTCGGTCAATTAGGCACCAATTTAAAAAATTAATTAATAAAAATTTAGTGTCGAAAAACGGGTACTTTTACTTTAATCCAATTCTACGATATGTTTGTAGTCGAATTTAGTCAAAAAATTTTAATTTTGTTATAATTTTTTTGATGATTTTAATTTTTTAATATTAGAAGGTAATTAGCATAAATTACAAAGTGTCGTGTTTCATCTTCGCTCCCGTTCAAATATATAGTCCTAGATACGCGCCGATGTTTGTTTTTACTTCTACTGATGTTTTCGCTTTTATTTCACCCTCGGCCGTTTTGGTTATAGACGATGGGGAGACGGGCGTCACGTGATCGCTTACCTCACTTTTTACCACAGAAATTATTTTACCTCGAAAGTTTTATTTTTTTTCTCGATTTTAATTATTATTAACTAACTTTTTTTGATAGATTATAATATATATGTGTTTTCTGAAGTTGCAGATATTTTTTAAATTAAGTTTTACGCATTTATGTTTTTTTATTCGCATTTTATATATAAAATATAAAAAAATTCAAAAATTAATTAATTGTTATCAGAAATGCTAAACTATAAGTACGATGTGTTTTACAGTACTATTGCGAATAGATATAGTCAATTATTTTGTAAACATACTTATTATTTTAATTTTTATAAATTATTTAATTTGAT